AAGGTAAGCAGGTCACAGATGATTCTCTGAACATGTTTCCACAAGTGGTTGGATGTCTAGCAGACGGGATAGTTAGCAGAAACTCATACTAGACAGAACACAAAAATGTTTGATAGCTAGAGAGATAAACAATACTTAAGAAAGAGAATTGTACAATGTTATGTATACTCTACCCTGCTGTAAGGTGCAGAAACTTGGACAATGAAAAGAAAATGTGAATGAATGTTGAATGAATGTTGAATTAGGAATTGACATCATAGCACTCAGGACACTCCCATAAAAGCTCTGACCCCATCTTCAGCAGCAAGCGAAGAGTTCCAATTCCGATGGCACCAGTAACTGTCTGATTGTATATCAGTCTCGCCTTTTCCCTGAGAGTTGAGCATCTGCCAGATCCCCTGGTTTCTCTTCGCAGCACCATTCTCCTCAGACCGTAACGATCTATCTGTGCCTCTGCACTGTTCACTCACTCCCAAAGGGTCCTCACAATATCTAGCTTGTCATATATCAATTCACCACCAAGTGGTGCAGAGCCAGCCAGTCTATCTGTCTGCTCATTTCCCAACACACCGGCATGATACAGACTGGAAATGTGGAAGTAAAGAAGAATAGGTCGTATTTCATGGAAACAAAAACAAAGAAACACTAATCAAATAAAAAGGTTCTGAAGAGACCATGAATGAAAAAAACAACTACTGAAAGAAAATATTTTGGTCACATTAAAAGACATACCTCTTTTAAAAACCATATTGCAGACAAAAGTTAAGAGTCAGAAACTGATACAAGAGGGAGGACAACATCAGGAGATGGACAAACAGTAGTCTGGAGAGTTCACTATCTAGACAAGAGACAGAGAATGTTGGAATCAAACTTCATTGTGGAGATGGCACCTGATTGACTTACTGATTTATTCACTGATACCAGATCACATCAGGGACTTCAAAAAAATTATGCATTTGGCCAGCCATATGAAGAGTAAAGTGGTAGCATTCTCAAACACTGCCTTGAAAATCTTGCATTTGGTCCTTTGGGATATATATTACTGTTCTGTAATTGATTTAGTAGAAAATCAGACAAAACAAACAACCTGACAGAGTGATATCAGCCAGTCAGACAGTGATTCCAGGTAGGCAGAATGTTAAGACAGACAAGACAAACAGTCAGTCAGACAATGATATCAAGTAGACAGAATATTGAACAGTCAAGACAAACAGCCAGTCAGACAATGATATCAAGTAGACAGAATATGAGACAGACAAGACAAACAGCCAGTCAGACAATGATACCAAGTAGACATAATATTAGACAGACAAGACAAACAGCCAGTCAGACAATGATACCAAGTAGACAGAATATTAGACAGACAAGACAAACAGTCAGTCAGACAGAGATTCCAGGTAGGCAGAATGTTAGACAGACAAGACAAACAGTCAGTCAGACAGTGATAACAGGTAGGCAGAATGTTAGACAAACAGCCAGTCAGACAGTGATATCAAGCAGACAGAATGTTGAACAGACAAGACAAACAGCCAGTCAGACAATGATACCAAGCAGACAGAATATTAGACAGACAAGACAAATAGTCAGTCAGTCAGTCAGTGATTCCAGGTAGGCAGAATGTTAGACAGACAAGACAAACAGCCAGTCAGACATTGATACCAAGTAGACAGAATATTAGACAGACAAGACAAACAGCCAGCCAGACAGTGATACCAAGTAGACAGAATATTAGACAGACAAGACAAACAGCCAGTCAGACATTGATACCAAGTAGACAGAATGTTAGACAGACAAGACAAACAGCCAGTCAGACAGTGATAAAAGCAGAGGATATAGAGTAATTTCTCTGCACATAAGATATACAGTAATTTCTATGCGAATAAGAGATAATTTATATATGTATTAGACATACAGTAATATCTATGCGTATAAGACAGAGTAATTTCTTTACCCATAAGAGATAAAGTAATAAATTTGATCTACATAAGATAGAGTATTTTCTATATGCATAAAACAGTAATTTCTAAACGCACAAGATACAGAGTAATTTCTAAATGCATAAAACACAGATTAATGTCTATGCACATAAGACAGAGGCATTTATTTACCTAGGACACAGATTAACTTCTATACGCTTAAGGCATAGAGCGATTTCTATATACAGACGACATTAATTGCTATACGCACAAAAATTATTTTTTTCTATATAGGGCTAGATCTATATTTTATAGACCAATCGGCACTGGGTGGGCGATGTGGTCAGCATCACGTCGTCCACCTTTACTTCCCAGGACTGTATCTGATACCTTCTCAAGGCTGGGTCAACCTGGAAGTCAAGTTCTTTTTTTTTTTTCAATCTGGCTTTGTCAGGACCTGAGTCAATACCTATAAGGTATAGAGTAATTTCTATATGTATAATATGGAGTAATCTGTATACTCATAAAACATCCGCCGAGTAATTTCCAATCGATTCTAATATATTAAAATTGTTTTCTTCAGATCGGCAATGGAAAAGCCATGTTTCAGCAAGCCTATGTCGGGAACACTGCCTGGGCATTTGTCTGTGCTGATGCAGCCATGAAAGCCAACCCCACCCTGACCAGAGAGGTCTTCTACGTCCCTGACAACACACCTGTGCAAAACTCTTTCAACTTCATGTTACCCTATCTGCAAGCTCACGGGCTCCAGCTGTCCACCGGTTACCTCTCCTACGCCCTTAGCCACAGCGCCGTTGCTGCCGCAGAACTCCTGGCTAGAGTGGTGTCCCCGCTGGTAAAGTTCAACCTGCCGGTTCAGTCCTGCACCATCGCTTACATCAATACTGACCTGTATTTCCGGGGAGAGAAGGCTCAGCGGATCCTGAACTACTATCCTATCTACACACCCAGTGATGCTCGGGAGCTGTCGCTGAAATATTACGCTAACCTGGAACTGGAGGACAGGCCCCGGAGAGGCCACAATCCCGAACAAAGATAGTTTACTGTTGGTGGTTACCTTCATCATCACCATTGTCTCCCTGTGTGAGTGAGTTTTGGGGCCACATTTGGGGGGGAGGGGTGGATAACCTCACTGACCCCCTAACAAGCCATCTGTAAAAAGTCACTAATTAAGAGTTTGCAGACCTGGGTAAGAACAAATTAGATGTGTTGGGCCGAAACGCACAGATATCACAACCTAGCTGTAAACTACATAACCTTTTCTCCCCAACAACCAAGAAAAATAAAAATCAAAGCCAAGCTCTTGTACTTTCCAGTTTGAATGTTATAGAAAAATTCGATTCTAGAAAGGACCAGAACTTTCTGTGGAGCTTAAAGCTGATGAACGTCAAAGAAGAACAAGATGAAACTATGTTAAGACCATACGGTGATAGACATATCAAAAAGTGCTACAGTGTCTTTCACCAGATGAGAAATATTCCCCCCCCCCCCCCCCCCCCCCCCCCCCCCCCCTTCTCCCCCCCCCCCCCCCCCCCACCCCACCTCCCCCCCCCCCACACCCCCCCCCCCCCCCCCCCCCCCCCCCCCCCCCCCCCCCCCCCCCCCCCCCCCACCCCCCCCCCCCCCCCCCCCCCCCCCCCCCCCCCCCCCCCCCCCCCCTCCATCATGCATTGTATTCTCACAGCCTGATATTTTCACGTATTTGTTATGTATAAACATGTATTTGTGACAGATTTTTGATGCCCTTGTCGTTCACACAAGTGCCTTACTGTATCAAAACATCATAAACATCAAGACAATTAAAGACTAATTTGTACTATTAGTGTAAACATGTTTATAGAGAGAAACAGACTTCGCAGACAGGCAGGCCATTCACTAATGCCTGGCACTGTTATATGCTTCTAGCCACGGTCTGCTGGCAAATTCTCTCCCCCCCCCCCCCCCCCAAGTGTACTTTAGAACAAGGTTTCAAAGCTCAGTGCACTGTGCTGTTGAGTGTTCACAACATAACCACCACTGACACACATGATATAAGAGAATTTTAACTTAAAAGCTTTGGGGCTTGAAGTTTTAAGGGGGAAAAAAAACATTTTAATTCTAAAGCTCTGGGGTTTGGAGTTTAAGAAAAACATTATAGCTTTTAAACTCTGGGCTTGGAGTTTTAGAATAAAATGTTATATTTAGAGCTAGGAGGCTTGGAGTTTTAGAATACAAATGTTATATTTAGAGCTAGGAGACTTGGAGTTTTAGAATACAAATGTTATATTTAGAGCTAGGAGACTTGGAGTTTTAGAATACAAATGTTATATTTAGAGCTAGGAGACTTGGAGTTTTGGAATACAAATGTTATATTTAGAGCTAGGAGACTTGGAGTTTTAGAATACAAATGTTATATTTAGAGCTGGGAGACTTGGAATTTTAGAATACAAATGTTATATTTAGAGCTAGGAGACTTGGAATTTTAGGATACAAATGTTATATTTAGAGCTAGGAGACTTGGAGTTTTGGAATACAAATGTTATATTTAGAGCTGGGAGACTTGGAATTTTAGAATACAAATGTTATATTTAGAGCTAGGAGACATGGAATTTTAGGATACAAATGTTATATTTAGAGCTAGGAGACAGAGTTTTGGAATAAAAATGTTATATTTAGAGTTGAAACTTTGAGTTTTAGAACAAAAAATATTTATCCTTAGAGTTCTGAAGCTTAGAGTTTTATTTCTTTTTTAAAAGACAAACAATGTACAGACCTGGGGTTTGGAGTATTAGGAATTTCTAGTGTTTTGGAGTTTAGAACAAACAGATAACTTTAAAGTTCTGATGGCTGGAGTTAAAAGAAAAAAGGAATAATTTTAAAATTACACGGCTTTGAATTTTATAACAGAAAGACAAAAAAATTTCTGCTACACAGAGTTTTAGAACACAATGATAACTATATAATACTGGTTAGAGAACAAATATCAACGCATTATTTAAATACACGACAAATGCAGCTGAAAACAAACAGTTTCACAGACACTGACAAGAAAGCAGGGATTAGACAGACGAAACACAAACTTACCTCACTGGCAGGAAGCAATGCTGCCACACTTGGCCACACAATAATATCTGATGGAGTCACCGTAACCTGAGAACAGCCTGAGCCTTGTATGTGACGAGAGACAGCCTCCTGAACAGCCTGAAATCATCATCATGTTTCACTCTCAAACAATCGATAGAAAATATGGTGTTCTCCCTGTGGGTTCCAAAGCCCCATTTTTGGAGGGGGACAGAACAGTTCTACTGCCCCCCCCCCCTCCCCACCCCCACAACAAGCATGTCCTAAGAGGCGGTTAATTAGGGATGTATTTGATGTCGGACTGCATCTGTCTAAGAGGCACGGAGCCAGGAGTATCTTCTTCTTTTCTCTACTCCTGAAATGCCTTGTGGCATCAGGGCAGGAAGAGATCTCTGGAACAGGCCCTTCTGTTCACTTCGTATAAAGTACTTTTCAGTGTCTCTGATATTTCTGTGGTCCATCTTCTGCTTGGTCGACCTCTGGGTCTGTTACCGCTGTGTAAAAAAAAAAAAAAAAAAAAACAGCATACACAAATATAAGTCAAATCTGTAAAGTAGATTTGATTGCAGGTCACAAAGATTCCTGAGAAGATCTGCACCAAAGTTACTGAGGAAAGTTTCCCTCCTTGGCATGCAGTGTTTTAAAATAACACCTCCTCCATCCCAAAAGAGTCAGCATAACCTTTCATGCAGATGGCTGCATGCAAAACTTTTTTGGTTTCAGGGAGCATCTCGGTTCATGGGAAACATTTGCCAAAGGCAGAATTCCCCACAGAGGAAGAAGTCAACAGTCACTTAAAGACGTTGGATTGTTTAGATAAATTATAAGCAGAACTGAAGTTGTGGAACAAGACCAAAGTCTAGAAGTGATGGACATTTCATTTTAGAGACCCAGTCTCTACCACAGTATGACTCTAGGCCGACAGCACCAAACAAAGCCTCCTGAACAACCTAAAATCCAGTGTTGCCACTTTTCATTGACAAAAAACATCCAAAATGAGGTCAAAAAACATCTAAATTTGCGTGGAAAACATCTAGAAAAAACATGCAAATGGAAAGAGTCACAAATTACATAGCAATTGATATGACTACCCTATAGAATCATGTTCTCATCTTTACTGAAGTCTGCTTTACAAGATCCACAGGATAAACTTACCTTCGATGATAAAATTGAAGCTTCCAGCTGTTCCAATTTCTTTTAATTCCCAATCAGGGCACTAATAAGTGGAACAGCCTTTTCCTACTCTTCTCAGGCCGAATTTTATCGGCAAGATAGCATTTAAGAGGTCAAATTTCATCCTGTTTCTTAGGTTAGATTTGATAAATTCACTCCAAATGAAAAACATCTAGAAAACATCTACCATCTAAACGTCAAAAACGACATCTAAATGCACGGGAAAACATCTAAATCTGGATGTAAAACATCCAAAGTGGCAACACTGGAAATCAGTATGTTCGACTGAGCTCCACAATGCACGGTGGGGGTGTGCTGTTTCTACAATGAAGTTTGGTTGAAGTATACCCACTCCAGTCTTTGGGAACATTGTGGAGGCCCTAATCCCTTCCCCTGTATGGCTGACTCTCTGCTGAGAGCGTGACGCAAAGTATGAAACACCCTGAAGCTCCAATGATGAGCCCCAAGGATGCCTGAAAGAGACCCTAGGGATCTTGGAATTATTTTTCTCCAATGTTTGGCTTGAAAACAGAGCCGTTGGCACTTTGCATCCAATGTTTGGCCTGAAAACTGAGCCGTTGGCACTTTGCATTTAATGTTCACCCTGAAAACAGAGCCGTTGGCACTTTGCATCCAATGTTCACCCTGAAAACAGAGCCGTTGGCACTTTGCATACAATGTTCACCCTGAAAACAGAGCCGTTGGCACTTTGCATTCAATGTTTGGCCTGAAAACTGAGCCGTTGGCACTTTGCATCCAATGTTTGGCCTGAAAACAGAGCCGTTGGCACTTTGCATCCAATGTTCGGCCTGAAAACAGAGCCGTTGGCACTCTGCATCTAATGTTCACCCTGAAAACAGAGCTGTTGGCACTTTGCATCCAATGTTCGGCCTGAAAACAGAGCCGTTGGCACTTTGCATTTTGGTTTACAGCTGGACAGAAATATCATTCCAGTTCGGCCCAACAACACAACTGATTTTGATAAACTTCTAATTAGTCAGCTTTTACGTTAAAAAAAATTGGGGTTAGGTCTATCTCCCACGGCACCCGCACCTCCTCCACCAAAAAAAAAAACACATCTCAATAAATGCTGTTATAAATATAATGACCAAAAAACCACAACAGCTTAATTAATGTTGCTATAAATATGATAATAACACAACTGCTTCATGAATGCTGTCATAAATAAAGTGACCCGAAAAAAACACGTCAGCTCAATCAATACTGTTATAAATATAATGATAACAAAACAGCAGCTTCAAGAAGGCTGTTTTAAATATCACAACACAAAAAAGAAATAGTTGTATGTCGTTTACTGAATGTTGCAAATCCAGCCCTAGCATTTGTTGGTTGTCTTGGTTTCGCTCGGCAATGTTACATCTGCCACTGCCTTCTGTACGGTCGGCTCTCGATAGTTCTGTCGAAATCTACATAAATTCCAGTTCCACTTTAGACAAAAATTAAAAAGAGACCACATTTAACCTGCTGCTGGCAGCGGAGCTACCGGCAGTCTCTGGTTATATTTATGGTCTGGTTTATTTGTGCCAAGTAGTTGGTTAAGTTTGTGGTATATGTGCCAGCTTGATGGCTTTGTATCCCTAACTTAAAAGATAGCTCCTTAATCAACGTAAAGTAGTCTGCTGCCAAATCAGCTCAATAAACAAGGTCATAAAAATAACAAACTACTTACCAATTCATTAAAGGCACCGATGGATGGTCCTGCCAAAAGATTTCTTGCAGCTGCAGGTGGGATGAATGGTGTCTTGTAGACCTGGTAAACAGATGGGTACTGCAAGACCGCTTCTATCTCCACACAGGGGTTATCAAATTTTCCTGCAGGAGATCTTTGTCAAGGAAAATCTGTGAATGTCCTCATGAAACTATGTGTTCAATGTTCTCTTAAAACTAAGTGTGAATGTCCTCATGAAACTATGTGTTCAATGTTCTCTTAAAACTAAGTGTGAATGTCCTCATGAAACTATGTGTTCAATGTTCTCTTAAAACTAAGTGTGAATGTCCTCATGAAACTATGTGTTCAATGTTCTCTTAAAACTAAGTGTGAATGTCCTCATGAAACTATGTGTTCAATGTTCTCTTAAAACTAAATGTGAATGTCCTCATGAAACTATGTGTTCAATGTTCTCTTAAAACTAAGTGTGAATGTCCTCATGAAACTATGTGTTCAATGTTCTCTTAAAACTAAATGTGAATGTCCTCATGAAAATATGTGTTCAATGTTCTCTTAAAACTAAATGTGAATGTCCTCATGAAACTATGTGTTCAATGTTCTCTTAAAACTAAATGTGAATGTCCTCATGAAACTATGTGTTCAATGTTCTCTTAAAACTAAATGTGAATGTCCTCATGAAACTATGTGTTCAATGTTCTCTTAAAACTAAATGTGAATGTCCTCATGAAACTATGTGTTCAATGTTCTCTTAAAACTAAATGTGAATGTCCTCATGAAAATATGTGTTCAATGTTCTCTTAAAACTAAATGTGAATGTCCTCATGAAAATAAATGTGAATATCCTCACTTCTTCTTTGCCTCCACCTGCTGTAAACTCAAGCAGAAAGTTCTAGTTGTTCATCCTCCTCTGAAATTCAGCCGTCCCACCAGAACTTGAGTGTAATGTATACATCCATTTTACAGATCTGGCTTATTTGTAAGAAGACTGTTAGTTCCTTCCCTCTCAGGCAGATGCACTTCTGCTTTGAAGGAATCCCCTAGTTAGTTGACTCCTTTGACCATCTTGTTAGGGAGGCCATGCGTCTGTTCTTGTTTTATCCCACAATAGGGCCCCGGAACACACCACACAGGAAGTCCTTACGAAGAAAGAATGTCCTCATGAAACAATGAGGATGTCCTCACCTAAATATCAATGTCCTCATAAAACTAAAAACAGTGAAAGACTGAAAGGTGATCTTGGATGTGGCAAATTTCTGTTGTGAATAATAATACACTTATCCCCTAGAGGGCTAACCCAGTCAACAAATGCCTGCAGAAGTTAGATGTGTTGGCCGAAAGATGCAAATATCGCAGCCATGCTGTAAACAGGCACTATATAATTACATTTTCAGAGGAATGCAAAAGAAGATATATTTATCCCTGGGGATTTTTCTTGCTTGAAATTCTTATTTGGATAAAAAGAATATCTGATAAAAAGAATCATTTCTTGGTCCCCAGTAAGTTCTCCTTATCAGGTTTGCACTGTTTGAGTGTCCCAATAAAACAAAGTGTGAATGTCAACATGAAAGTAAAAGTGAATATCCTGCCCCCAAAAAGTGGGAATGTCTTCACACTGATGTCCACTCAAAGGATACTCATGTCCAGAACAGTAATCTGCAGCTGGTCTCTGAACGTGCTGACCCAGCCTCGAACTTGTACCAAATCCCCCAGACACAGTTCCCCTTCTTGTGCTGCAGCTCTGCAGGTTTCCACTTCAGCCAGTTTGGCTTGGAGAGAAGCAGGTAGATGATGATGTTCAAGTTGTGTCCCAGCTGTTGGAGAATAAAAACAAAAAATGTTTCTTCACTTTTCTCCTTTTTTTGCTTTCATGGCTGTAATCTCCAGTGAACAGTTCTAGTGTTTCTTGTCTAATCATCTACAACTTGTGTGACGTCTCATAATCTACATTTTTTGTCTAGTCTAATCATCTACAACCTGTATGACTTGTCTTATAATCTACATTTTTTTGGTCCCGTCTAATCATCTACAACCTGTATCTTTATGTTTATTTTTATTCAACGGATCAACATTATGGTACATGGGCGTAACCCATAAGCGCTCCGTTCTACTTGTAACTCAAGCCTGAGTCTGAAGAATCTCAGCGCAGTGCACGAACTCTGTAGCACCGCGAGGATTCTGAAATATTTTGGGTAGATTTTTAACTCAAACTTTTGCCCGGGCAGTTCCGTTGGGCTACTCTTTTTCGAATTCCAACTGCCAAGTAATTTTTTTTACGTCCCATACAATACACACAGGCGTCTGGTCTTACTACCCAGAGACCAGGGAAAATTACTAGAAGTCCATGTGAAAAAATCCCAGCTTTCACCGGGGTTTGAACCCTGGACCTCCAGCACTCAAGGCGGATGACCACGCAGCCCCCTGTATGACTTGTCTTAAAATCTACATTTTGTATCTTGTCTAATCATCTACACCATGTGAACTTTGTCTTATAATCTACATTTGTGTCTTATCTAATCTACAACCTGTGCAGTTTATCTACAACCTGTATAACTTGTCTTATAATCTACATTTTGTGTCCTGTAAACCATCTACAACATGTTTGACTCATCCTCTAATCTAAATATTGTGTCTTGTCAAAAATCTACAACCTGTATGACTTGTCTTATAATCTAATTTATTTGTAATGTCTAATCATCAAAACATGTGCAATTTGTCTTATAATCTACATTATGTGCAATGTGTCTTATAGTCTACATTATGTGTCGTGTATAACCATCTACAACCTGTATGACTTTTCATATAATCTACATTATGTGTCCTGTCTAACCATCTATATCCTGTATGACTTGTTTTATAATCAACATTTTGCGTCTTGTCTAACCATCTACAACCAGTGTGACTTTTTTTATAATCTACATTATGTGTCATATTTAACTAACTACTGGAAGTAAAATTTGCCTAGAATACCCACAACAGCCAAAAAACCACTAGGGTTGGTTTTCTGCAAGTCTTGTAAAGGATTCGCAACTAACTATAACCATCTACAACCTGTATGACTTGTCTTATAATCTATTTTGTGTCCTGTCTAAACATCTATATCCTGTGTGACTTGTCTTATAATCTACATTTGTGTCCTGTCTACTAACTACATCCTGTGTGACCTGTCTTATAATCTACAATCTGTTTCTTGTTTAATCATCGACAGTCTGTGTAACTTTTAATCTTCATGTTGTGTCTTAGCTTACCATCTACAGCCTATGTGATTTGTCTTATAATCCATATTTTGTGTCTTGGCTTACCATCTACAGCACGTCATGTATATAATCATTTACAATGTGAGTGACTTATCTGATAATCTACATGTATCTTGATTAACAATCTACAATTTGAATAACTGGTCTGTCCAACTACAACACTGTGCAACTTGTCTAGTGATCCAAAACACATACAACATTGATTTTAAGGTGACAATGTTACTCACGATTCCTTGGTTTCCACTGCACACACAAAATAACCCCAGTGGCATCATCAACTGCCAGAAAACAAATTGCAGCAGATGATTGTTGGTTCATCTAAAACAATGAAGATTTCAACAACAAAAGTGTTTGTACTTTTCTATCTACAGTGTGAGCATTTTCTAGGCAGATTATTTACCACAAATTACTGAGAATAAGTCGAACCATCAAGCTTAACCCTGAGACTTATTCCCATAAATGCCACTTAACCCCTTTTTTCCTAGTGGCTTGCCATTAGGAAACAAAGATAAACTCCCACTAGATTTTCCCTGTGTGGGTTCCAGGACCCTATTATAGAGAGGACAGGAATAGACCCACTGACTACACAAAAGCATCTCGTAAGAGTTGACAAATTGGGAGCTTCCTTCGAAGTCTGAGTGCATCTTCTGAGAGGTAAGGAACCAGCAGTCTGCATACAAATGAGTCAGATCTTTAAAACGATGCAGATGCAACACTCAGGTTCTGGAGCCGGGCTGCAGTTCAGAAGTGGATGTAAAACCAAACTTTTCGCCAGTGTTTACGCGGTGAACGCGAAGAATAAGAAGAAGAAGTAGACTACTAGATCTCATATCTTCCAAGAAGGGATTATTAATCAAAAGGTTGCCTTTACCAGGATTCTCATTTTCAGAGAAATAATGATCAAAATTTGAATTATGGAAGAGAAAAACTACCTACCCCACTTCGTTATACAATAAGGCAGGAATTTTTCGCTACCCACCAGACTCACCAGCTGAAGAATGTTGAATGTTAAATTAAGAATTGACATCACAGCACTCAGGACACCCCCATAAGCGCTCCATCCCCCATCTTCAGCAGCGAATAAAGAGTTGCAATTCCAATGGCACCAGTAACTGTCTGATTTTATATGCGTCTCATCCTTCCCCCAGGTGTTGAGCATCTGCCAGATTCCCTTGTAACTCCTCGCAGTGCTATTCTCCTCAGACCGTAATGATCCATCTGTGCCTCTGCACTGTTCACTTGCTCCCAAAGGGTCCACACAATATGTACCTTGTCCTACATCAATTCACCACCAAGTGGTGCAGAGCCGGCAAAGTCTAACTGCCTGCTCATTTCCCAACACACCAGCATGTCCTGAAGTAAATATCCAAAGGACGCTAACTACCCGGGACATCTGAAGTGATGCTTGCCACTCTGCACCGTGCATGCATGTCTCCACCTTTCTCAGTATGCTCTGTGAGTCACCAGCTGAAGAACACTGCTCTAGTGTTCTTCTCAATGTCCATGTTTGGCAGTGACAGCATAAAGTAGGGACCAGGATGATATTAATCATTTTATGTTTTGCAACACAACTGATGAATGAAAAATGAAAGAGTAAGATGTCCCAGTCTACATCAGACAGGAAGCACATGTGGTTTCTCACCTGCGAATGAATGCAGCCGATCCTTCTTGTCAGACATGACCACGAGGCCCATGATCTCCACCTTATTAACGACATGACCCCTGAAGGTGTACAGTTCTGTGTTTGGGAGAAAGAGTGTGTCATATATACATATGTATATATAAATATATATATATATATACAGTAAAATATTGATTAACCGTCACTCATTTAACCATCACTTTCTGTTATCCACCTCTGTCTAAAAAACAATGTGGGTATTAACAAACACAAACCTCAAAGACACCGGAGATGAGATATTATTTTAAAGTAACGTAGGTATAAAGTATTAAAATGCATTTCTGTACATTACTACTCATACATTTAAATTTGTATTGACAGTTTTGTTAACATAAATACAATATGTATTTATTATACAACTGTTGAGTATTTTATTTTCATTTTTGTACCAAGCACCCATGAAATTATGTTAGTGTAGAAATGTCGAGATTTCCGTTATCCGTCTATTCGATTATCTATCACAGCCCTAGTCCGGACAGTGACGGTTAACTGAAGTTTTACTCTCTGTCTGTGTGTGTGTGTGTGCGCGCGCGCGTGCATGCATGTGTGCGTGTATCATCAATCAGCAGGTTCTTTACAGAACGTCACTCTCATCACCACATACGTGAACATCTCTCTTTCTCTAACCAATTCTCCAGCCCTATGTACTTTCATAGCCAAAGCATCTTCAATGTCTTGTATCCACATTCGCCCTCACTGCTCTCTCCAGGCCAGCATGACATTTACTATGGTCAAAATACCTCTGTTTTCGGAACAGGATGATGTTTATTAGCCAGTTGTACTTGTGTGTGTGTGTGGGTGTGTGGGTGTGTTTGTGTGTGTGTGGCGTGCTTGTGTGTGTGTGTGTGTGTGTGTGTGTGTGCGTGCATGCGTGTGTGTGTGTATGTGTGTGTGCGTGCATGCATGCGTTTGTGTGTGTGTGTGTGGCGTGCTTGTGTGTTTGTTGTAAAGATCTCCTTCTGCTGCTGGCTCTGTCTCTCCTGTACCAACCATAAACCTTTCCGGTTAGGTTCACCCCAAATAAAGTAGGTCACTTTTCATTCACAAATTTGTTGGGCTGGTCGACTTTCCAGAAGGTTATGGGTGTGTCCCGCTCTATTGTTTGCTTTCTGTGTTGTCTTGCATATATGTTTTCATTCCAAGAAAGAGAATGCCTGTGACATAGGTTGCAGCAATCTCTAGGAGGGTTGTGCTAGGACCAGTTTGTTCATGTTTTTTGAGTGTTAAAATCGCTAGCGTGCTGAAATATACAACACATGATATCAACGACATTGCGGAACACTTCCGTAACCTTCTGGCAAGGTGACAGGTTCAGGAACTACAAATAAGAAGTGAACTAGTGTGTATATGGGCGGGCTGTGGGGAGCCCAACATTACTTTTACCACCTTTCCTTCAAAGTAGGAGTGCATCTGCCTGAGAGGCAAGGAACCAACAGACTGCAAACAAATAAGCCAGATCTGTAAAATGGATGTGCATGCAACACTCAGGTTCTGAAACATAACCAAAATATAAAAATTGATGAACCAGAACTTTGCACCTATGTTTATAGCCAGTGAACAGGAAGAAGAAGAGGAAGATCATATACAGGGCAGCCTCCAATGCCAAAACTAGCAACACCATTTACCACGGAACGGAAGCACCACAAACCTGCTCAACAACCCAAGCCAGAATTCCATGGCTACACAAAAGAACTTCTACTGTTATAGGAAAATAAATAATCAAAAACCTGTGAGATATCAATGCTGCACTTGTTCAGTCAGACACGGTTACATCCTCATCATGTACCATGCCGGTAGGCTGTCACATACTGAGGGTATGCTATCTTATGGACTTGTCCAGTGTGCGATGAGGATGACTTGGAAATTACCTAAAACAAACTGCCATAATGCAGCGGCTACATGTTTGCTTGCAGATCTGAAGGTCATGGAACTGCTTCAAAAATGACTTATGCTCTCAGGTTGACCCAGCCTTGAATGGGTAAAGCCCTGGGAATTAAAGACAGTTGGTGTGATGATGACATCACCTACGAGTGCCAGCCGGTCTTTAAAAGATAGGTCGGCTCTCCTTTGAATCGTTCCCCAAAATGGCGGCTTTAATTTAATGGTGTTCGAAAGAGAGCTAAATTGGCCAATTTCTGGCCATAAAATATCCAAAACTATCCAAATGCGGGTCAGTTCTATAAAAAATATATGTGCCGGCTCCGGATAACGAAACAAATGCTCTGACAGGGTCTCGGCTATATGTTACTCGCCGACCTGCCTCTGCGAGTGTGCCTCACCGCCGAGCGTATCCTCCGCGCCGCTACGCGCGTCGTGGATGGAGGGCTAAACTAGATGGCTGGGACTCACGAGAGGCAGCTACCGCATCTCCTGCAACTTCCTCCAATTACTGTACTCGTGAGTCCCAGGCACCTAGTTTAGCCCCCCATCTGTGCCGCACGTAGCGGCGCGGGGGATACACTCGGTGATGAGTTTAATCGCGTTTGGCGCATGCCGACAAGTCTGACATCTACCACTGCTAAATCCTCCAATCAGAAGAACACAGAATTGCTAATCGGCTTTCATCGTCTGTAATGTCTCGAAATTGGTCAACGGTCGCTAATATCGTCTGCAGAAACGCTCGAAATTGTTGTCAACAGTCGGTATTTATCGTCTGCTACTAGTACCGTGTGCAAATGTTGATATTGATTGTCAAGTAATCCTAGTTTTGCCGCGATTTGTTCCTTGGCAGAAAGTCCGTATTTTAGATTTACGAGAACCCCGTCGTCGGATATGTTTGGATATTTTATGGCCAGAATGTGGCATGCCGCCATTTTGGGGAATGATTCAAAGGAGCGCCGATAGGTCTAGTCTTATATGCCCAATTCACTTAAACGTGAGGAAGAGGGTCCTTTACTTTACTAAATAACCCACAGATAGCAGAAAGTAGTCAATTACAAAGGACACACTGTGACAGAGAGGGTTAATGATACAAAGATGGTTCTGAAAACATTACCTATTTTCTCATCATGTTTGCTGGTGTCGGGAAGGTTGACCAACTGTAACTGGTACATGTCCTTTACTTTCATCTTCACACATGATCTGAACACTGGGTCTAGTCCAATGATTCGTTTGTCCATAAAACTGCACTGCTGTTCAATCGTACAATTGCTGTGACCAGAAGATAATGACTCAGCCATGGGATATTCTGATGGTTCAGGAAATAAATTATATAAAGGACTCCTTGTGATTAATGATGGTTGATTCGACTCGTTGTAAAAGAGAAAGTTGTTGGTTATTTTAATAGTTTCATAGTGATAATATTTAATAAATAATTTATTTAAATTTGTTTATAGCACTCTACTATAACCTGAGTGATATTCTTTCCCACTAACTGTTATCCATTTTATTCAAAATGCAGTCCTCGTAAAAGCAGTTAAAGTCCACTTAGAAGTACTTGTATGTTTAGCGATGTCTTCATATAATCAGAAGAACAGTTAAGTCTAGATGACTAGATGACTAGATGTAAATGTAAGCAGTTTCATGAGTTTCATCAAATTTGTCTAGTTCAAGTTGAGGCACTCAAATTGAAACGTCAACGAGCACTGTTAAAATCAAATACCCGAGATTCTGAACTGAGCTTTACCCAGAGTTACATTGTACCAAAAAACTGTGAAAAACAGCTACTACATCTTGTCAGACCACCGCCCTGTGAGAATATGTACAGAGTAAGATGAGATAAATCTCCAAAACAGTTCGCACAAGTGAACTCTCAAATTTCCCGGACTCAGCTGTCGTCTGCATAGTACTTCCGGTCTGGGAGTGTATCCGTACAAGTTTGGCTTGACAACGGGAATATCGACCATTCATAACGTACATGAGTTCAGTTGAGTTTAGTCAAGAACTGACATCTCAGCGCTCAGAGTATTCCCATGCGTGCTCCGTCCTCATTTTCAGCAACCAGCCCAAAGTTCCAATACTAATGTTAAAGGTAGTCATCTAGTTATATGTCCGTATTGCCTTTCCCCTGACTGTAGTGAGATGGCCAGACCCCCTGGTTACACCCAGGTGCCTCATTCTCTCCAGGACATAATAATCTTGTTTCGCTTCTGACTCCGTATTTGTTCCCAAAGGGCCCTGGCCACATCTGCCTTGTCATATATCAGTTCACCACCCAGTGCTTCAGAGCCAGCCAATCTGCATGTCTGTTCATTTCCCATCATTCCCCATCACGCCAGCATGGCCTGGAGAAAATATCAAAAGTATGCTCACTACCAGTGACCTTCCCATTGAAGCTTGCCACTCTGATCGAAGCATACCCTCTAAACACGAAACCATCTGTAAGATCTGGGCGAGAATTGTCGCGAATCAACTGTTGGACTTCCACCTCCGTAGCACCCGATGGCTACTCTCTGCACTCCCATCCCAATGTGATCAAAACCCTACACCAGTGAAGCTTGCCACTCTGCACGAAGCATTCCTATCTTCGCCTTTCTCAGCATACTTTCAGAGAATGTTACAATTATAACGTGTGTGCATCTTTTTCTCTAGCCACCAGAGAGCTGCAATTACCGCCTTTACCTCCATTGTCATGATAGACATACTGGTATCGTATGCTAGGCTGTCTTGCACTAAAGATTTTCCATTGGCTTTCGCTACGAAACCCAGGCACGTATCTTCCCTCTCAACACCGAACCATCTGTATAGATAATCAGATCATCTGGGCGAGAATTGTCGTGAATCAACTTTTGGACCGTTTTTTATCAATCCCTACCTCTAGATGACGTCACTGGACCGTCCAAAATTTCGGAAAGTGGTAAGACTGGGTTTCCAGGCTTTCTGATGCTTTTAACGACCCCAAAACATCTAGAACTGGGCCTTACCCGAACCCACCTGTGTCCCACGACTGCATACAGCCTAGGTCCCACGACTGCATGCAGCCTATCTACCACCCTCTGAAATATTAGACTGTCCCGTGATGTGTGATTTTCGCTTGTTTGAGGTAGAATATAACTAAAGCACCTGGACTTTCACCTAGAATATATAGTCATCCCCTCATGGAGTGCAATTTTTCGTTATTTAGAAGCCCCACCCTGGCTTTTGCCAGGAGCCGCAATATAGCCGGGCTATAAATGTGGCCTAATAGCTGAACGCGGTTTCCGTGACCTCTCCACGGGTAATCCTCCTCCGCATGGTGACACTTTGTGTCATCGGGTGTTTTTCACTTGTGTGATGTCCTAGTGGGGTAAAATGTACTACTACTACTTCCACTTCCGTAGCACTCGCTGGCCTCTCTCTGCACTCCCGTCCCATTGTGATCATAACCCTAAAAAGATCAGACTTTTCCTCTGGTACTCTGACCCACTTCTCTCCCCGCCCGTTCTCCAGCATGTATACTTGTCTTATTGTGTCTTCTGCTTGTCCAACCACGTTTTTCCCTCTTTTCAGCCTCTGACATTTTTCTTGAGTCAAAGCTTCGTACAGAAGGTGTTCTTTGTCTGCAACTACTCTGAGGTATGACTTAGCCTGCAGCACCTTTAGCCTATCTGCAATAGTCGGCAATGCAAAGTTGTATCTCATGCACACAATCGGGGTGTCTCTTGTACATGCCAGGATAATCCGCATAGCTTCATTCTGTATGCGCTTATATTTCTTTGCTTTCATCTTTCACCACTTCCTCATTTTCTCCTCTTCACACACACACACTCTCTCTCTCTCTCTCTCTCTCTCTCTCTCTCTCTCTCTCTCTCTCTCTCTCTCTCTCTCTCTCTCTCTCTCTCTCTCCCTCCCTCTCTCTCTGCTCGCTGAAGATGACTTTACTGCAGCTCTATTTTATTTAACTTCCATGCTTGTCCCACCTCTGATGTTCACCACAAAGGCTGCACAAAAGTAGATCTACCGATCTTCTTACATGCCCTCTGTCGGAGGCGTCCAAGAAAAGTGTTTGTCCGTTAATGTTTGAAAGACCTATAAGATCTTAAAGCCTTGACGTTCTTCTTGGATTTGGAGATTAATACCGAACATGGCAGATGGTCACTTCCACGAATACCGAACATGGCAGATTGTCACTTCTACGAATACCGAACATGGCAGATGGTCACTTCCACGAATACCGAACATGGCAGATGGTCGCTTCCATGAATACCGAACATGGCAGATTGTCACTTCTACGAATACCGAACATGGCAGATGGTCACTTCCATGAATACCGAACATGGCAGATGGTCACTTCCACGAATACCGTCATGGATCGTTGTTCATATCGGCGACTCAGTCAACCATTGGCTTGCCAGTAGAAGACTTCATCACCGGTCGGGACAATATCTGGATCCATCTCTTATGATCGCATCAACATTTATTTTCAGAGCTCTTTTGGGCGTGTAATGCAAAGCATTATAACCCAAAGCTTTTCCTTTTGTGATGCTGGTTGAACGTGACCTCCCCCCCCCCCCCCCCCAGCAAACTGTTTAGAACTTCTGAACTCCCCCCCCCCCCCAGCAAACTGTTTAGAACTTCTGAGCTCCCCCCCCCCCCCAGCAAACTGTTTAGAACTTCTGAACTCTCCTCCCCCCCCCCCCAACAATATGCTTACAAAAGAAAGTCAGATCTGTAAAATTGATACGCATGTAACACTCAGGTTCTGGAACAAGATTTAAGTCCGGAGGTGGACGAAAAACCAGGGACACCCCTCTCTCTCTCCCCCCCCCCCCCCCCCAACCAAGTTCACAGCCAGTGAACGCAAAGTATAAGTATTGCACGTGAGGATTCAGGGTACCTTCGAGTGGCTGCTGCATTAGGGACCTTTATGGGAATGCCCAATGTGCAAATACCAAAACTTTATCTGCACATTTCATTCGTTTAAAAAAAAATATCAACTGCAAATCACGGTACGGAGCCGTCAGAAGCCGGCAGTGGCGGGATATTGTTGGACTGGATGAAAATTTCGTCTCTACAAACCTACACGTGGGTGTCACATTTTTTCATTTTATTATCTTTTTTGTTCAAATCTCCATCTGTTTGTTCTTGTGCATCTCATAGATGGTAGCAACCGTGAAATGTTCATCAAATACTTGTCATTTCTCAAAAATTATCGGACGATCTATCACGCGACCGGAAGCCGGAATTAGCCGTAGCCGGCTGAGTATTTCCGGCTGATTGCAGGGAGGCCTGGCTGTGATCTAACTGAATGTAAACTCAAACATTTCACATATCATTTGCTTTAGAAGTGACTTTACACCCTTCTTTATCATACCGGTGGCTGTGCAGTCTTCATGGATGATCGGAACCCTGCAGTATCTTCTCTCACAACTAAAATTTGTGTCTGGTGTGATTCAGTTTTTGTTATCCTCGTTTTATGAGTCATCTTCTTAGTGTCTGTCATTCTTAGCAATAGCAGACAAGACAAAAATCAAAAACTACTTTGCATAAACCTCATAATGCTGCTGTATGTTTATAAATGAAAAATAAATCAAGCATATGTACAGGGTAATACGAAAACAGGTGATGGGTGTTTCCATTAAGCATTCAATTTGTACACAAGATAAGTTTTAATAACTACCACCTTTCTTGTTTTTTTCACAGTGCAGGCCTACCGACTTTATTCATCGGATCAACTATCAACATCATGGCACACGGTTGTAACCCATAAGTGCTTCGTTCTTCTTTTAACTCAAGCCTGAGTCTGAAGAATCGCAGTGCACAAACTGTTGCACCGGCGAGGATCCTGAACTATGGGTAGATTTTAAACTCAAAATTTTGCCCGGCAAGGCTAGGCTGCTCTTTTCGATTTCCAACTACCAATGTTTTTTTTTACCTGCGCAACATGACACACGGCGTCCGGTCTTACTACCCAGCAGAGACTAAAGGAATTTACTAAAACTCTATGTTTAAAAATCCCAGCCATCACCAGGTCTTGAACCTGGAACTTCTAGCACGCAAGGCGGATACCATGTTTCAAGACCACGCACACCCTAGGCCTACTGACGGAAACTATTATATACACGGCTTGTATGATCGCAGTAGTCGCTGTTAATTATGCAGTTTATATGTTAATTAATTTGGCATTGGTCCCATAAAGGTTTGGTTCTCTTGTACACTGGCAGAAACTTGCTGTAAGAGCAATCCTAATCTATAAGCACATCCAGTAAAAATAAAGTAGAATTTCAGATATAATCTGTTTCAAGCGAACGGAAGAGGAAGAAGAAGGGAATCATAATAGCGAGAGGTTTTGTTTTTCCTTCCTCCAGTAACCTCGGCAAAAATAGAAAATGGGGGAGGGGATGGATGAAAGAATCACTTAGATAAAGTACAGAAAATAATGGCAGAAATGCCAGGATGTCTTGGCCAAAAGACATATTAGGGATGAGAAACCAGATCTGATGTTATAGGGAATCACATGTCATGCATCCTTGCTATGGAAAGTTGTTACATGACACAGAGGAACTCACTGAAATAGTAGGATAAGCTTTATGATTACACCCCCCCCCCCCCCCACCCACCCATTCCTCTGTCAGCTGGCTCTGTTATCTGTGTGCGTCACTGAACATCATTTTCAGCATAATCATCCCATTGTGTCATTTATACGACCCATGGTAAAGGCTTGCAGTCTGTTTCTCCATTCTGTTCTGTCCTGCAGTCCTTTAAAAAAAAATGAACATAATCTCATCCTGCACCTGATGAACATTCGCTTTACAGTCTCTCCTGGACACCCTCATTTCTGCAGTCTGTTTATCATTTAACTTTTTCTATCCTAAGCAGTGCACCATGTGTGCTCAGCTTATGTCTGTGTGTATCGATGCAACACATGGTGTGTTATTATTTATTTCCGGTTTGGTCTGACTATGCAAAAAAACTGGCTAAATAATTTTTAGCGCAACACAGTATGTGCTGTATCTTTGAAAGTCATACACTGAACCTCTTTTCACTGTTTGTGCCGAATTGGGTTTCTGCTTTCAAACTATCTAGGACTCAAAGAGTTAAGTGCCTTTTTGGAGGATTTTTTTTTTATTCACTTCTGAGGATGTGCCCATCGTAGCACCTTATTCTTTGGCTTATAACTGTTGATATTAGTGGTGAGGAGCGGCTGGCCGAACAGTTAAAATGCTGCGCTCTCATGCAGGAGACCCAGGTTTGAATCCTCTGTAAGGCTGGGGATTCTTTCTGTCGGGGGCAATATAAAATCCTCACCTGCACAGTCCTTGGCGACAGCACTAGCCATGTGGCCGTAAATTCTCAGGCTCAAAAACCCCCCTGACTACACCACTAAAGTGGTATAGTAAAGGCAGTCGTTGGCAGGTACCAGTGGTTTTTCCAGACATTTCTTTTTTTTTTTCCCCTTGAAATCATAAATTGGAAGTTATGAAAAGAATTCTTAACTGCTATATAGAACTAGTTTTAACATATGGCTGTAAAATCATGAACATTTAATAAACAAGCCAATTAATTTCACTGAATTCTCAGAGATGTGGTTTGACAGAAGAATCCTTAGAATTCCTTAGACAGCCAAAAAAGAGCAACCCGGATGTTTTGAAAAAAGGCTAGGGCTTGAAAAACAACTTATTAGAAAGAGACAGTCATAATTTTTTTTAATCATGTTATGAGAAGAAGGAAACTGGAACATGTTGTGACCACTGGAAAGGTTTGTGGAAAGAGAGACAGGAAGTTAATGTGAGAAGATTCTTGGTAGCCTTTTGGCATGGTGGGGTGTCAACACAGGATTGTTGCAGATTGTGGAGAGGCATGATTGCCCAAGCCAATCAGCAAGGCACTTGATGGTGATGAAGCCTTTAGTTAGTTGCATATTTCTTGCAGGATGTTGCCAAACCAATCGCAATATTTTTTTTCCCCAGCTGTTTGGTATGACTAGGCTGTTTTATGTTTATTAGTTTGTCTTTGATGTCTGAATGTTCAGCTCGATACCATTGTTGAAATCAGTGCAAGGCAGTCTGCTGCCTTACGCCCACAGCTCATACCTCATATAATTACAGAGCATGTTTGCAGCACCTAAGCCACAGATGCAGACAAGGTTGCCTTTACGTCCCTGAATATTTCCTGTTTCCCATATTATAGTGGACTCACTTCTGCTATGAAGGAGATTTGAACCACTGGCAGCTCGCCTGGAAAGCCTACTGATCATTGCATAACCACTGCTCCCGACTGCTCTTGTTACGTTGTTGATGAACTATTTTCGGATGTTCTGTCCTGTTTCTGAATTTGTTCTTTGAGTTTCGCTTTTCAAATATGTTATATATACTCAGAATTTAAAAGAAAAATGTTTTTATGTCTTTTTTTTTTCCAGATTTTTCAGAATGGTATCTATGTTCAGAGTTTTTGTGTTAATTGAAAAGAATTTTCTTTTTAAAATTGTTTTATCTGTTTTTATAATTTGTTTTAATATAAATTTTCAGAGGTTTTATCTGTTTTCAGAACAATATCCTTTCCCCCTTAGTTTTTGTGTGTCTATATTATATATTTTTATCTATTTTCAGATGTTTACTTCTCAGCCTTTTTAACGATGTCATCAAGATATGTAGCACAGGCAGATTGGTATTGGGTCAGCTTTCGTCTTCACCACATCGTCTAACTCAAACTCATTCCCGGCAGAAGTTAACTGGAGCCTTCATTCATATTTATGACATAAGTGTGCAATGTCTATCATAAATGTTGACGATGAGTTTTCTTCCTACGAAGAAGTGGAGCAAAAAATCCAGGAACTGCAGGAGACAGAGAAGTTTAAACTGTGGAAGCGAGACAGTCGAACAATCGCTGCAGCGATTAAACGAATGCCGAAGCGGGTTTTTAACCCGGATGTAAAATATAATGAGTTGCTTTACTGTTGTGTATACGGTGGCCGAGAAAAGAAGGATGAGTTACGATCCATGCGGCAAAGGTGCCCTTATCAGATCAAGTTTCGCTGCACTCAGGATGGGCAGAGACTGCGAGTTGTGTCCATAACTGATCAACATAACCATAGTCCTGTTGATTTCCCAGACGTGGAGATGGATCGGGTAGAAGAGGCAAGTACAACCTGGTGTATGGGATGTATGTTAGTATGACTTATGTGTGTTACAACCTGGTATATGGGATGTATGTTAGCATGACTTATGTGTGTTACAACCTGGCATATGGGATGTATGTGTGTTACAACCTGGCATATAGGATGTATGTTAGTATGACTTATGTGTGTTACAACCTGGTATATGGGATGTATGTTAGCATGACTTATGTGTGTTACAACCTGGCATATGGGATGTATGTGTGTTACAACCTGGCATATAGGATGTATGTTAGCATGACTTATGTGTGTTACAACCTGGCATATGGGATGTATGTTAGCATGACTTATGTGTGTTACAACCTGGCATATGGGATGAATGTTAGCTTGACTTATGTGTGTTACAACCTAGCGTATGGGATGTATGTTAGCATGACTTATGTGTGTTACAACCTGGCATATGGGATGTATGTTAGCATGACTTATGTGTGTTACAACCTGGCATATGGGATGTATGTGTGTTACAACCTGGCATATGGGATGGATGTTAGCATGACTTATGTGTGTTGCAACCTGGCATATGGGATGTATGTTAGCATGACTTATGTGTGTTACAACCTGGCATATGGGATGTATGTTAGCATGACTTATGTGTGTTATAATCTGGCATATGGGATGTATGTTAGCATGACTTATGCGTGTTGCAACCTGGCATATTGGATGTATGTTAGCATGACTTATGGTTGTCATCAGCTCCCCCCCCCCCCAAATGCATGGGTGATAATGTAACATGAGTGAAGCCCGCTGGCCAAAAATTAACTATATGATAAACCTTGATTCAAAAATATGTCAACTGAAAGTCCTACTTTGCTGCTTAAGGTCAAAAGTCCTACTGCCTAGCAGCAATGTTTTAGATGTCTAGCCATCAAATGTCCTACTGAAAGACAGACAAGGTTTAGATATCTTTCCTGTGTGACAGAAGGGTTTTAAGATCTGATACAACTGGCCTCACTCATCATAGTTGAATGTTGAATTAAGAATCGGAATGTGCGGGACAATAAGTAGAAGCCATGCCTGATGCATGCTGTTTTTATACTGTTGTGCTTAGTATTCTGGTGCAACATCAATAAAGGTGTCCTAACGTGAGGAAGATTTTTCCCATCTGTGTGGTCATCGAAGTCTCGGATCTGCAGGCTGTGACTCGCAGATCTCTAGCAGGTTTCAGCTCATATTGAGGGGAAAGCTCAACATATAAATGTCAGGTTAAAACTAAACTAGACTGTAATGCACCAGAAAGGAAAAAAAATAATTAGAGTGTAATAAATGACTGCACCATGTGCTAGGAAAAAGCAGTTTTAGAACTGTGTAATGAGGAAAGATCGACTTAGGAACAATGATATCAGGAGCAGAGGCTGCACAGAACCAATCGTCTACTACTTCTTTAGCATTCCAAGCCCTTGAGGTTCATTGCTGCATATATCACCCGCTTCCATTTATCTCTCTGGTTGGCCTTCTCTTTCCAGTTGGTGATGCCAAGTGTTTGCAGGTCTGTCTGGACATTATCTCTCCATATTCTTCTTGGTCTGCCTCATGATCTACGACCATTCATCTCCCTTGTGTATACAGTTTTTACTTCTCTGTCATCTAACACTCTTTCAATATGCCCCAACCATTTCAGTCTATTAGCTCTCATGATGCCAGTGATCGGTGGTGATTTAAACAGATTATGAATTTTGTTATTGCTTCTCGCCCTCCATTCCCCGCTGTTTGCATCTTTGATGGGTTCAAAGATTCATCATAAGACTCTGTTTTTCTAAAACCTGTAATAAGGCTTTCATCTCTTTCGTTGTGCTCCAAGTTTCAGAGCCAGTACTGAACTTAAAAGGTAGACCCACACAAAAAAAATTTGGTCATGTAACAAGATTGTAGTTAGACAGGGCACCACCGAAAGCAGTGTTATACAGATACAGTGGTAACAGAGCCAGAGGTCGACCAGGCAGAAAATGGACAGCAGAAATATCAGAGATACTGTAAAGTACTTTAAACAAAGCGAGCAGAAGGGCTCGTTCTAGAGATCTCTTCCTGCCCTGATGACACGAGGTATTCCAAGAGTAGAAAAAAGAAGAAGATAGAACTCTGTGTGGCTTCCAGGGACACATTTTGGGAGAAAAACAAAACAAATGCACTGCCGCTTAACAAGAATGTCGTAAGAGGGGACATTTAAGTTTTGCTGATGTGTTGAGCGTCACATTTTCCCATAAGCCTCAGTGAAAGGGGTCACAGCATGTCACCTGATACATTCTTTATTTAACACCCCATGAATGTATTCTGCTGAATGCTTTACTCTGTGTTTATACACCTTGAAAATATTTTACGCTGTGTTTTTTAATTCCCTCCTTATATCCGATTATACACCCCCCTCCCCCCCCCCCCCCCGAAAATAATTAAAACATTTTTTTTTGACCTGTGTAATATAGTTTTTTTTTTATTTTCTTGAAAATTTGTGTTCATGGCACATTGTTAATTGGGAGAAATGGTTAATCTGATTTTCCTCTCCCTTCTGTAGGCGCCAGCATCGCCATCACCACCACCAAGTGACAGTGAGGAAGAACAGGCCTCCACCGACATCAAGAGTGATGACAGTTTGGACAGTTCCCTCGGGCAGCAGCTGGTCAGGCTACCGGACTTCTCACCTGATGTCATGACAGGAAGCAAGAAATCCTTTAACGGCTCATTCAAACAGCCTAAGGTACGTTGATTTGCTTTGTTTCATCACTTTCACACCTGGGTGGTTTTGGGAAGAAAAACCTTTAATTCTTAGCTCCAGTTGTGTTTAGGAATAATTCGCTTAATTCGGGGGGGGGGGGGGGGGGGGGGGGTTAAAAAGAGAAGTAAAAAAAAAATGAAATATTTTAGTTTTTTGACAACCATTATGTAGCTGTGCATGTTATAGTTGTTACCTGTCTGCTCGGTGGTCAGTATTGTTCCCCTGGTTGTAGGTTTGAAGTTTGAACAACGGATCAAAATCGCACACGGGTAGTAACCCATAAGTGCTCCGTTCTACTTCTAAGTCAAGTCTTGAGTCCGAAGTAGCTCAGCACAGTGCACGGGCGCCGTAGCACCGGCGAGGATCCTGAAATATTTTGGGTAGATGTTTGAACTCCAAATTTTGCCTGGGCAGCGCCTTTAGGCTACTCTTTTCGATTTTCAACTGCCAATGGTTTTTTTACGTGTGCAGCAATACACACGGGCATCCGATCTCACTACCCAGAGACCAAGAAAAATTACTAGAAATCCAGGTGAAAAAAATCCCAGCTCTCACCGGGGCTTGAACCCGGGACTGATAGCACACAAGGCGGACACCATACCTCGAGACCACGCAGCCCCTCGGTTGTTTATAAAAACTGCCCAAGACTACACATTTATTTTGCTTATTATCTTCCTTTAGTTTCTTAGGTTGGAGCTGCAGAGAATTGTAAGGATGTGTTTCTAGTTTTTTAAATGACATTTTGGAAAAGGTAATTTTCTTAAGATTATTAGGGAAAAGTTTAAATTTATATAGTTTTAATATTTAGTAAAATGTAACATATTTAATTTGTTTAATATATATAATTTAACTTATGTGTCTAATAAAAGTTAATTTACATGTCTAATATATTAGTTTAGCTTATACTTTAACTGTTCTGCTTCAGCTTTCTGAGCATTTGAGGTGAATTCCTGCAGATATTACCTGCCTCCACTTATTTCTGTGATTGGTGCTCTCTTTCCAGTTTATCTCTCTAGATATTGGTAATTTTCACAAGTGACATTGCTTTCTGGTAAGAATCACCTGCCATGAGTTTCTAATGATATTTGTTCTGTTCTATGCTTGTAACGGAAGAGCATGTTTTGTATTTTTTAGTTGAGGGTGATCTTGGACGTGGACACAGGCATAGATGATTCGCACGCAATCATGATGGCCCTGGCACACCCTAACGTCGAGGTTTTGGCAATCACCTGCGCCAACGGCAATGTCAACGTGGATTTGGTGTGTGCAAACACGTTGCGGGTGTTGAAGGCTTGCGGCCGAGAAGATGTGAGTTTCAAATAGTCACAGTCTACTCATTTTCTTTCCTGTGCTTGTGATGATATTCTACCTGTCGTTTTGTGAACATGCCCAACCTGGGAAAGGTAAGGGGGGGGGGGGTGGCAGGTGTCTTTATGCTCATCTTCAGCCTATCATTTGTATCAGTGTCTGTCTATGGCTTGGGTCCATGTTCTGTCACTTCTGTTCTTAGGTCCATGTTCTATCTCTGGCTTGTGTTTATGTTATGTGACTTATGTTCATGTTCTGTGACTCGTCTTCTTGTATCCATGTTCTAATTCTGACTTGTTTTCTCGTGTCCATGTTCTGTCTGTGACATGTGTTCTTGTGTCCCTGTTCTGTCTGTGACTTGTGTCCATGTTCTGTCTGTGACTTGTGTTCTTGTGTCCCTGTTCTGTTTGTGACTTGTTTTCTCGTGTCCCTGTTCTGTCTGTGACGTGTGTCCATGTTCTATCTGTGAATTGTTTTCTCATGTCCATGTTCTATCTGTGACTTGTGTTCTTGGGTCCATGTTCTGTTTGTGCCTGTCAACAGATAGTTATTGTAGTTGACCTCAGATCCCAGTCAGTCGTTTGTGACCAATAATTGTTGTTTTTTTTTTTTTTTTTTAACAGATTCCAGTGTACAGAGGAGCGGAGTGCTCACTTCTCGGCAATACCTCACAGTTTGAAAACTTCAGTGGGGAAGCCTGGAATGTTCCTGTGGATATCTCGGCCATACAGCCAGAACATGCAGCCAACGCCATGATCAGAATTATTACCAACAACCCAGGTAATCATATCACCATCTTCATCATATGATCAGCTTATTGCCTGTGGTCTTGTTTGTTGGGAATGTAGTTGTTAACCCTTCTTCTTCTTCTTCTTCTTCTTCTTCTTCTTCTTCTTCGTCTTCTTCTTTTTCTTCTTCTCCTTCTTCTTCTTCTCCTTCCTTCCCCTCCTCTTCTTCTTCCTCCTCCTCCTTCTTCTTCCTCCTCCTCCTTCTTCTTGCACTTTTTCTTCTCTTCTTTTTCTTTGTCTTCTTTTTCTTCCTGTTCTTCCTTCTCCTCTTCTTCATTCTGAGCCCTTAAGGTTCATTGTCGCAGACATCACCTGCCTCCATTTAATTCTGTAATTTGTCTTCTCTTTCTTGTTGGTGACTTCAAGTGTTTGCCAGTCTGCCAGTATATTATCTCTCCACCGTTTTCTTGTTCTGCCTTGGATTTGCTGCAAATAATCTCTCCACAATCTTCTTGGTCTGCTTCATGGTCTATGCATCTTCCTGAGAGTCAAAGAACCAGCAGTCTGCACACAAATGAGTCAGAACTGTGAAATGGTAGCGCACACAACACTCAGGTTCTGGAACAGGACTGCAATTTAAAATGAACAACTAGAGCTTTCCTCCAGAGTTTACAGCTGGTGAACATAAAGAAGAAGATATTTTGATGCCCAAAATGTTGTTCTGTTTGGTGTAAATATAGATATGTTCTCGATATTCAGCAAAAAGAAAATATATCGTGCAATCCTACAAATTTTCAGGGGAAGTAACGCTTGTAGCCCTCGCCCCGTTGACGAACTTGGCATTAGCAATGAGACTGGACTCCACCGTCGGCAGGAAGATCAAAGATCTATACATCATGGGAGGAAACATTGAAGGTATAGTTGCAGTTTTGTTTGTTTCTGTCCATGTTCTGACTTGTCATTGTCTCTACGAAATGGGAGAAGGGAATGAATGAAGGTAATGTAATACTCTTTGTTTCTCTCCATGTTTTGACTTGTCATTGTATCTACAAAATGGGAGAAAGGAATGAATGAAGGTAATGTTTTTTTATGGATCTCAAGAAGTTTTTTAAAACATGTTGTCCAGGAAGACTAAATCAAGTCACTTCCGGTTATGATACAGCCCCCGTAAATGCCGATATATATATATATATATATATATATATATATATATATATATATATATATATATATATATATATATATATATATATATAGAAAAACCTGACTGTCACTGAAGATATATTTTTCAGTTTTTAACTATAGAAATACCTGACCTCTCACTGTCACTGAAGATATATTTAACTTCTTACTATAGAAATACCTGACCTCTCACTGTCACTGAAAATATATTTGACTTCTTACTATAGAAATACCTGACCTCTCACTGTCACTGAAGATATATATGGGAATTGTTACTCTGAACCCGGCCTGTTACTAAAGCTATGTTATATATATATGGGAATTGTTACTCTGAACCCGGCCTATTACTAAAGCTGTGTTTCACATTATAACTGTGCAGCGCGTGGTAGAGTCAGCACCTGTGCCGAGTTCAACTTCTACAATGACCCGGAGGCAGCCCAGGTGGTCCTAAAGGAGTTCATCAACATCACCATCCTGCCCTACGAGGTGTGCCGCAGGTTCCTCTTGTCTTGGGTAAGTCCTGTTAGATTTGTTATCCTTGGTCATTTTTCACCAGGTTTTTTTCTTTTTATTGTTGTGTCTTTACTGATTGTTGGAGACCAGGGTTCAAATCCTGGGTGAGGTTGGGAAATTTTTTTTTTGAAATTTTAGGAGCAGAAATAAAATTCTTACCTGCACAGTCCTTGAGTTGAGTTGAGTCAAGAATTGACATCACAGCACTTGGGGCATTCCCATGCATGCTCAGTCCTCATCTTCAGCAGCTAGTGCAGAGTTCCAGTACTGATTTTACCGGTCACAATCTGGGTAAATGTCCCTCTTGCCTTTCCTCTGAGTGTAGTGAGCCAGCCAGACCCTCTGGTTACATCCAGATGTCTCATTCTCTCTAGGCCATAATAATCTTCTATCTCTACTGATTCTGTTGCTTGTTCCCAAAGAGCCTTGACCACATCTACCTTGTTATGTATCAGTTCACCACCCAGTGGTGCAGATCCAGCCAATCTGTCTGTGGCAAAAGCACTAGCCATGTGGCTCAATCCTCAGACTCAAAGACCCACCCCACCCCACCGCAAAGTGGTAATTACAGGCAGTAATAGCATTTTTTTTAACTGTTAAAAAAATGTTTGGTACAGTGTTTATTTTGAATGGACTCAAGTCCTAGAGAAGAAATCAGCTTTCTGAAATGCTACAGACAAATTCTTAGAATATCCTGCACCAAAAAGAAGAAGAGTACAGACATTTGAGTGTCTTCTGAGCTTGCCCTTGCAAAGATGTGGTTGGCACATTGTATTGAGGTTTACAGCTAGGCTGCGATATCTGCATCTTTCTGTCTGGCATATTCACTGTCGGCAAAATTTCCTCATTAGTTGCAGAGGCAATAGGTCCCCCACCACCCACACCAGATTTGACCCCTGAACCCACACCAGATTTGACCCCTGAACCCACACAGGGAAGGGTTCACTTGAAGGGACGGATTTCTTTGGCAGCCTTAGTTGTGGGTTTATCTGAATTCTTATTTTAGTTGATGCGTTGGCAGGTATATTCTGTGCAGAGTGGCAAGCATGGCTTCAGCGGTCCCCAATTGTTACCTATAGTTGATGTGTTGGCAGGTATATTCTGTGCAGAGTGGCAAGCATGGCTTCAGCGGTCCCCAATTGTTACCTATAGTTGATGCGTTGGCAGGTATATTCTGTGCAGAGTGGCAAGCATGGCTTCAGCGGTCCCCAATTGTTACCTATAGTTGATGTGTTGGCAGGTATATTCTGTGCAGAGTGGCAAGCATGGCTTCAGCGGTCCCCAATTGTTACCTATAGTTGATGTGTTGGCAGGTATATTCTGTGCAGAGTGGCAAGCATGGCTTCAGCGGTCCCCAATTGTTACCTATAGTTGATGTGTTGGCAGGTATATTCTGTGCAGAGTGGCAAGCATGGCTTCAGCGGTCCCCAATTGTTACCTATAGTTGATGCGTTGGCAGGTATATTCTGTGCAGAGTGGCAAGCATGGGCTTCAGCGGTCCCCAATTGTTACCTATAGTTGATGTGTTGGCAGGTATATTCTGTGCAGAGTGGCAAGCATGGCTTCAGCGGTCCCCAATTGTTACCTATAGTTGATGTGTTGGCAGGTATATTCTGTGCAGAGTGGCAAGCATGGCTTCAGCGGTCCCCAATTGTTACCTATAGTTGATGTGTTGGCAGGTATATTCTGTGCAGAGTGGCAAGCATGGCTTCAGCGGTCCCCAATTGTTACCTATAGTTGATGTGTTGGCAGGTATATTCTGTGCAGAGTGGCAAGCATGGCTTCAGCGGTCCCCAATTGTTACCTATAGTTGATGTGTTGGCAGGTATATTCTGTGCAGAGTGGCAAGCATGGCTTCAGCGGTCCCCAATTGTTACCTATAGTTGATGTGTTGGCAGGTATATTCTGTGCAGAGTGGCAAGCATGGCTTCAGCGGTCCCCAATTGTTACCTATAGTTGATGTGTTGGCAGGTATATTCTGTGCAGAGTGGCAAGCATGGCTTCAGCGGTCCCCAATTGTTACCTATAGTTGATGTGTTGGCAGGTATATTCTGTGCAGAGTGGCAAGCATGGCTTCAGCGGTCCCAAATTGTTACCTATAGTTGATGCGTTGGCAGGTATATTCTGTGCAGAGTGGCAAGCATGGCTTCAGCGGTCCCCAATTGTTACCTATAGTTGATGTGTTGGCAGGTATATTCTGTGCAGAGTGGCAAGCATGGCTTCAGCGGTCCCCAATTGTTACCTATAGTTGATGTGTTGGCAGGTATATTCTGTGCAGAGTGGCAAGCATGGCTTCAGCGGTCCCCAATTGTTACCTATAGTTGATGTGTTGGCAGGTATATTCTGTGCAGAGTGGCAAGCATGGCTTCAGCGGTCCCCAATTGTTACCTATAGTTGATGTGTTGGCAGGTATATTCTGTGCAGAGTGGCAAGCATGGCTTCAGCGGTCCCCAATTGTTACCTATAGTTGATGTGTTGGCAGGTATATTCTGTGCAGAGTGGCAAGCATGGCTTCAGCGGTCCCCAATTGTTACCTATAGTTGATGTGTTGGCAGGCATATTCTGTGCAGAGTGGCTTCAGCGGTCCCAAATTGTTACCTATAGTTGATGTGTTGGCAGGCATATTCTGTGCAGAGTGGCAAGCATGGCTTCAGCGGTCCCCAATTGTTACCTATAGTTGATGTGTTGGCAGGCATATTCTGTGCAGAGTGGCAAGCATGGCTTCAGCGGTCCCCAATTGTTACCTATAGTTGATGTGTTGGCAGGTATATTCTGTGCAGAGTGGCAAGCATGGCTTCAGCGGTCCCAAATTGTTACCTATAGTTGATGCGTTGGCAGGCATATTCTGTGCAGAGTGGCAAGCATGGCTTCAGCGGTCCCCAATTGTTACCTATAGTTGATGTGTTGGCAGGTATATTCTGTGCAGAGTGGCAAGCATGGCTTCAGCGGTCCCAAATTGTTACCTATAGTTGATGCGTTGGCAGGCATATTCTGTGCAGAGTGGCTTCAGCAGTCCCCAATTGTTACCTATAGTTGATGCTTTGGCAGGCATATTCTGTGCAGAGTGGCAAGCATGGCTTCAGCGGTCCCCACATTGTTACCTCAGGAAACATCTTTCCTCAGGGAAAATCTTTTCTCTTTTGGAAGATGATCAGGCAGACAGATCGGCTGGTGCAGCACCACTTGGAGATGAATTCATGCGTGGCAGGGTAGATCTGATTAAGTTCCTTTGGGAGCAAGTAAACAATGCAGAAACATGAATAGATCATTAGAGAGAATAGTGCAGCAGTGAAGTGACCCCAGGATCTGGCCGACACCCTGCACTCAGAGGAAAGGCAAGACTGGCATTTAATCCAATTTTTGCTGGCACCATTGGAATTGTAACTCCTTCCTGGTTCCTGAAGATGAGGACGGAGCTCCTGAAGATGAGGACAGAGCATGTATAGGAATGTCCTGAGTATTCTAATGAGACAAAATAAATAGATTTGCAGGACATCAGGAGCCTTTCTAGGCAGTGGTGAACAAATGAATGAACAAACAAACTTTATTTTCAAAGGGTTAAGAATTGGGCACACAGGCCCGTTTAACCTCCTGCCCTTCCAGGCCACTCCTTACATACAGTTATTCACTCATACACCCTTTTCATAGTTACAAATAATTTTTACAAAAATTGTCACATCCAAGTCTTAAGTACAGACGCTGGAATGTGCTCTAATTATACTTTCCTTTACATTACTGAAAGTTTTAAAAGGTATAGTAATAAACCTGATCCAAAAACGTTATAAGTTTTTATAGGTTGCTGAATATAAACATCATCAACAACAATGCGTAGTAAGCTACTTTGGTTAGCCTGTTGTGTCACGTGATTCGATTGAAAAGACTATACTCCATACTTCAAGGAACAATAAAAAGGGGTTTGGGGGGGGGGGTGGGGGGGGGGGGGGGGGTTCGTAGTCAAAGAAGAGGGAGGAGGGTATTATTATACACTTGTTCCACAAGCGGAATACAGATTGATGGTGTGTTTTGCGTGCTACTATTCCAATCATACACCCCTATGACCCTAATGGGTCAAGGGTTATTGTCTTCTTATGCCTGATGTTTTTAACTCACCTCAGCTCATTGATAGTTTTATGCTTGCAGGATTTCTTTGACTTGTGGATCAACGCTGGCACCCACGTGTCCGACTTTGTCAAGAGATCCGTTTTGGAATCAGCTAAACCCGCCAGAGTTGGCGGCCGGCAAGGCTACCGCTCCTGTGACGGCTACTGCATGGCACTGGTCATTGATCGGTCAGTTGTCCTGAGTGCCGAACCTGTTTACTGTACAGTGGAACTGTCCGGGCAGTTAACCCGGGGCCAGATGGTGGTGGACTGGGATGGGCTGCTGCAACAGCCGTGCAATACCTTGGTGGTCAAGGAACTGGACATTGAGAAGATTAAGCTGCTCTTTATGCTGATGGTCAAGCCGGTCGGGACACTTCAGTCGGTCAGTCAGATTCCAGGTGCTTGTAAAACTCACGAAAATGATAGCAATAACAACAGATAATAACACTGTTGTCTAGGATTGCATTATAAAAAAATTCAGCAAATAGATCGGTTATTGTAAGAGCTGGGGAAACAAGCGGTGCTTGCAAGATGAAAACTGCCATTTTAATTTTGTTTTAAATCAATTTTATGGGTCATGTTTGTTGTCACATGTTCGGTTATATTTTTAACAAGTGTGTTCATTGTTGTAGTAAGTTATTGGTGTGGCAGCATTGAATGCATGAACTAACGAGCATTTTTTAATGGCATTTGAAAATTTGGCATGCAGGTTTGTCTTACATTTTGTCCTTCTGATCTCACTGCTTACATACCTTACTCCATTCATTTATCATTGAATAGATCTTTTTTTCTTCTTTCGCGTTCACCCCCTGTAAACTCCAGCTGAAAGTTCTGGTTGTTCGTCCACTTCTGGACTTTTAGTCTTGTTCCGGAACCGGAGGTTTGCTTGCACATCCATTTTACAGATGTGTCTTATTTGTGTGCAGACTGTTGGTTCCTCGCCTCTCAGGCAGATGCACTCCAGCTTGGATGGAAACATTGCAAATTAGTCGACTTTTACGATGTGCTTGTTGGGGGTGAAGGACTGTGTCCCCGTCCCCCCATCCCCCCTACACACACACAAACGCTCGCTTGCACACATGCCTCTCTCTCGCTTACTCTCTGACTCTCTTTCACACTGACTCACTGACTCTCACACATAATAGAGCCACAGAACCCACATAGGGAATGTAATAGATAATATTCAACATCATCATCTAAATCATCATTGATGAGCTCGCTGACGAGACTCCAGTTTGTGCAGTCATTTCTTTTTTCTTCTTCTGTCAGTAAATGCTTTGTACCTCTAGACGCTGTATGTAGTTTGGCAGGTGGAAGGTAGCTGAGCTGTGAGCACTTGGTGTCTTGTGAAGTCACGGGCTATCAGGGACTCCTTTCATCCAGCTTCTGCTGTACATCCCTCGGCATGGTTGTGTGCTGTGTGATCTGTGGGCTTAGGCTGTCACTGACTCCTTCAGTCCATCATCATCTTCTAGGTTTGGTCTCCCTCTGCCTCTTGGTGCTTCCATTTTCATGTTGTAGGTTCTGTAGTTAACTGCTTGAGGCTGTTAAAGCATGAGGGTTGAAAGGTATGGGTTTTGATCAGCAGATGCATTTTCATGTCTCCCTCTGTAACATGTTGTCCTCTCTGGGCTGCTCCCTAAATGTTTACTACCCTGCAATTTACACAAATCTCAGTTTGGTTGGCTGCCCAGCGGGACGGCAGCCCAGATATCTGGTTCAACCTGCACACAAGTTATAATTAGAGCACCTGTAACCCAGCTTGTAGTCTTCTTCATATGTTCATTCGAAGACGTAAATTCCTTGTGCCCATTTACAACATGGCTGAGTTATGTTGCGCCTTTCGGCTGACACATCTAGCTTTTGTTGTCTGGGTTAGCGTTTCCCGGTTCAGTGTCCAAAGAACTTATAATTAGGGCACCTGCAATGGTCACCCCAACCTGGTGCTGCTTGTAGTCCTGTGTGGGTAAGGACTTTGCCAGTGCTGTCACTTGTAGACAGTCTGAATTAGTTAGCAGATAAAGAAAGCTTTCCCAACAGTCTAGTGTGGGTTCTGAGCCCCACCCACCCACCTACCAGGAACATGTAAAATGCAACAGAATAGAAGTTTGCTGAAACTGTATGTGTTGGGCTGAAATATGCATATTTCACAGCCTAGCTGCAAACTACTGCCCTTTCAAGGGTGAACAAATAGAAGGGCTGCTGTGTTAAAAACAAGGCTTTAATATGTGGGCTGCCATAGTTCTCAGGGTTTTTAACAATAGGCTTCTGAATGTTAACAGTTGTAGTTTTTTTGTTTGTTGTTAAGTTAACCGGCTTCAGAATTTGGACTGCCTTACTGCTGGTTTTATTGAAGGCTTCTGTGTGTGATGATGATTGTTTTGTGTAAGTGTGCATGCAAATCAGGAACAAGACCAAATTCCAGAAATGAAAAACAACTAGAACGCTCTGCCAGAGTTTACAGCCGTTAGAAACGAAGAAGAAGAAGAAGCTTTAGGAAGGATTTAGAGCTAGTGCAGTGGCCATAAACTGTGCAGGTTTCAATTTTTTATTTTAGTCCCCGACGGTAAAAAAAATTATCCATCCCTTACTGAGGATCCAGCTTGGACAGCTGTTGATCGAAGGAGTGAGGACTTTTGTGGGATCCCCACGTGGGTCTGGGGGTTGCACCCGGCTGGTCTAATTGCTATGGGTGCCTTAATTGTAACTTCTTAGAAAGTTGAACAGGATATGTAGGATCTGTCTTGTTGGTATCTTGGATCTTGCCTTGTTGGTGTCTGGGATCTGTCATGTTGGTATCTGGGATCTTGCCTTGTTGGTATCTGGGATCTGTCATGTTGGTATCTGGGATCTGCCTTGTTGGTGTCTGGGATCTGCTTTGTTGGGATCTGCCTTGTTGGTCAGCCATCCAGAATGAGATTTTTAGGTCTAAGAATGGTGTGGTAAACGTTAAGTAGCTGCCTGGAGGGGATAAACCGAACAGTCAATTAGTTGTATGAACCCCCACATGGGACTGGTTCTGTTATTTGATTGGATATGTTGTCTGATGCTCCTGATTACCCATGAAAGCAAATATGTGGCACTGTGCTGTACCAATATTTTTATTTACCACCACCATGTGTCCCTCAAAAATAAGACTTTCATCATCATCATCCCATAACACTGTGTGTCGTTGGGTCACCAGTTTCTGTTGACTTTCTGATCAGTTCCCTCTAACTCTGGCGATGGACTATTACGGTTGCATGCCTGTCCTGTCCAGTCAGTCTTGTTCTTTATCTAGGTCTTTCTTGGTCTGCCTCTTCTCCTGTTTCCCTCTAGTGAGTCCTGCAGTATTGTTTTTGCGAGGCCATTAGATCTTATTACAAGTCCATACCATTGCATTTTTCACCTTTTCACTGTAGTCTCAAAGAGGTTGATAGTTGCCGATGTGCTAACAGCATGGTGTGTCTCGTGCAGTATTTCAACCCTGGCGGGGGTCCACACTTCTCCAGGTGGCCATATACCCGTTAGCCTCTGTCTTCACGGATACACTTTCCAGTCTGCACCAGGGGAAGCTGGGGTTGGCATGTGCGATCATCGGACAGCAGCAGGCTGCTAATTTTTTCCGGTCACTCAGCTAGAAGACCTAACTGTCCACACCATTGTTGGCCGCAGTGCTAGGCCTGACCACACCTTGAAGACCTTACAACAATTATTTTGCTCCCAAAAAATGTACTAGCGTATTTTTTTCAGGTTGACCCTGCCTTGAGTGGGTACCATGTGCAGTCCTGGGAAGTAAAGGTGGCCGGCTTGATGCTGACCACTTCACCCCCTAAGTGCTGATTGGTCTATAAAATATAGGTCATGCCCACATGCGCGTGGACAAGTTTCCTTTACCTATTTTCCAGGGCTGGTTTATAAATTTTTTTTGGGTCATTTATTCGTGTGCAAAAATTCTTCGTTTATTAAAAAAAAACAACCACTTTATTTTCTTCTGGAACATCGTCATAATTCCCTTAGGAACCATTGGCTGCACTTTCGCAGATGATCTTCCCCATGGCTTATTTTAGGGGTAAGGCTTATTTTAAAAGCGACCTGTAAATCAAGCTGGGCCTTTGAGGAGGGGTTGGGGCTGGGGATGCGCTCTATTTTTGGGGGAGACATGGTAGAGTTTGTTGTTCTCTACCTTTTGTTGGCTTATGCAGTACCGCCCTGTGGGTGTTGATATTTCTGGATTTTTATGTTGACTTTTTAAATACTTGAGTGTATTTTCTTTAATTTGCGCCTTTCATTTTGTTATTGTTATTTTTATATTTATTCAGTTATAAATGGGATGTTGCTAATTTATGTATTTCAGTGATGTTTGTATTTGTTTATTTAGATGCAACCAGTGTGTTTCATTTATAGGGACAAGTGGTTTGTTAAGAGTTAGGATATGGTTGGCTTATGAAGCACTCATGTTTTGATAACGAAAAACTTTGGTTAGTTTATAGAAACCATATTTGGTTTATAGAACAACTGTATTTGGTTGAAGAACAACCAGTAAGCACAACCATATATGGTTTACAGAACAGTCATATTCGGTTTATAGAATTGCCGTGTTTGTTTTATATAACAGTTATATTTAGTTTATAGAAATATGCATGTAATTTATGTAACAACTGAATTTGATTAATAGAATGATCATTTATTTGGTTTATAGAACTACCATATCTTTGACTGATAGAACAAACATGTTTGGTTCATAGAATCCCCTCATGGGTTCTGGGGCCCCATTGTAGAAGAGGCAGGAGGGGGGGGGGGGGGGGGATAGACCCACTACCTGCCTGGCAAGCTTGTTGTAAGAGTCAACTAATTAGAGGTGTTTCCTTTGAGTCAGAGTGTACCTGTTTGAGGGGCTAGGAATCACCCCCCCACCCCCCCCCCCCCCCCCCCCCCCCCCCCCCCCCCCTCTTTCCCAAAGCACAATCTGAAAATGGATGTGGCATGCAGAACTCAAGTTATGGAACCAGACTGAAGTCCAGAAGTGGAACAACCAGAACTTTCCTCTAGAGTTTACAGCCCTGAATGCAAAGAGAAGAGGTTTATAGAAGAGCCATATGTTTGGCTTATAGAAGAGCTATATGTTTGGCTTATAGAAGAGCCATATGTTTGGTTTATAGAAGAGCCATATGTTTGGCTTATAGTACAGCCATATGTTTGGCTCATAGTACAGCAATATGTTGGGCTTATAAAAGAGGGGCCATATGATTGGTTTATAGAAGAGCCATATGTTTTTTAACTCATAGAACGCTGAATTTGGTTTATAGAGCTTATATTTGCTTTATAGAACTTCCATATATTTGATTTCCAGACTTGCCAAGTGTTTGATATTGTTATGCTGGGTGTATTTTTATTTTTATGATGTCTTTGTGTGGTTAGATGTGTGTGGGTGTGAATGTGGTTAGGGTGTTTCCGCTAAAA